GATTTGTTTAATCTTAGCTACATGTTGCTCACCAATAACAAGTGCTACTGCATCTAACAAGCAAGGTTTGATGAGGTCCTCTCCTATAGTGTGTGGTTTTTTATTACGTGCGATGCGATAAGCAATTTTGTATGAAGCTTGAAGGCATGATTCATTTGCTTTCTGTATATTGCCTGTTGAATCCATGCGGGAAGACTTCAGAATCCTCTCCTTTTTCTTAAAAAAATCTATATTTTTATCTGCGAACTCCTTGTGAACTTTAGCAAAATGTTCTTTTAATTTGCTCGGTTTCATGCTTTCTGGATTAAGCACTTTATTACATAAAACACACTGAGGCTTTTCTATATTTTTGTCTACGATGCTTGTGAAACCCCATTGTAGAAATGCTTCTTTATAAGTGCGCTTTTTGCCAGATGAAGTAGAAGCCATGTCAAAAACACCTGTAGGTACCTAAAACAAAAATCAACTAATACATACCTACGTAAACAAATCACTCGTGACAATATTAACGTGACGATATTATCAAACACTGCTTACCTTTGAATTTAAACCGTTTAAAAATACGATTTCTGCAATGCGCGGCGGAACAAATAAAATGCGTGTTCTTCCTAAGCTTAGGTAAACAAAATGAACATCGCCGCCTGTCCGGCCCGCCGCTAGTCATGCTTCACCCCTCCCACACCGCAGCTCACCCGCCGCCGTCGCCGTCAGCCGCGCGCATGAGAGCGCCGTGCTACCGTTTACCGTACTATTATTTTGTTTATTGCTATTTTAATACTATTTCGTGCCATCCCGTGTTACCCCCTTAGAATCTCCGTTTTACCCCAGCGGGGGTAATTACCCCCAGGTTAGGAACCACTGATCTATTTGCATCAAATTGTGCTTGCTTTTGAGTTATATCATGTTTTATCAGCCTGAAATTTCCTACAATTTAAAAAGAAAACATATCTTCACAATAGGTGAGCGCTGACGCTGCCACGGGACAAGTGTAATCTAGAAATTTTTGAAGGAGAGAAAGGAGTATGACAAGGAGGCCATAAACGCGCCCTACAATTGTAGGGACGACTGACGATACGGGCCTAAGTCTAAGTTATACTTCATGCTGAGGTGACTGCCCTACAAGTCAGCATTAAAGAGCTAATCTGACGATCGATATCAGCTTTGACAGCCTGGCAGCCATTGAGGCATTAAGTTTATCGCAAATATTGAGTAAACTAGTAGGGGATTGCATCAGTACTTTCAAAGAGCTGGAAAGCCGAAACAAGGTAACATCCTCTGGGTACCAGGAAATGAGAAGGCAGATCATTTAGCTCGACAGGGTGAGGCCAGTCACTTTATAGGTCCAGAGCCTTTCTGTGACGAGGCAAGGACATACGTCAAACAACCCATAGGAAATTTGACCAAGAAAAAGTCCCTAGAATGGTAGAACAGTCAATTATGGCAAAAGCAGTCAGAAGAGTTCATCAAAGCACCAAATAGGATACATAGGACCTACTTAGGTTCAATAGAAATGCCATAAGTGCCACAGCTGGTCTCTTAACACACCGTCGCAAGGGCGGATTCAGGATTTCGTCTAGGGGGGGGGGCGCAAACGATATTTGGGGCTGGTCATTTTTTAACCTCAGTGGACCTTCTATAATTTATCCTATTATTTCCCCTTAAATCCATTATACTCTATCGGTTCAATCTACAGAAAGGCAATATTTTATTATATGAGAACAAAGTAAGCACGTGGCATTTATAATTAACTAGTGTAATAATATTGAAGATTAAAACAAAAAACTTCATTGCTCTGTTAACTGAACAAAAATAAATAAAACATTCCGAAGGACCCCGAGACATATCCCAGTCCATTCCACAATGTCTTTGATTGCGAAAACGAACATGAGACCAAAAAACTCACAATATCGTATGGACGCTAGACGAGACAAAGAAGGATGTCTATAGACCACCTATAGATCGTGTCTTGAGACCGTCTCCAGACTGCCTATAGACAAATTTCGCTACGGGGTCTACTAGTATGTACTAAGCTTGAGGATTGAGACTCTGAACTGCCCATTAAACAAATCAAGCAAATAGTGCAAATACTGACACAACCAAGCTCTTCTATTATATCAGCAGGTGATAAAAATATCAATAGGTATATCCAATTATTACTTTTTCTTATACCGAAGCAGCCGCGCAGGCAGAAGGTTGGAAAACCACGGCTGCTATGATGATCCCAAGTAAATTTTGTTAACCCGAGGTTGGTAGAACTGGGAAAAGCTTCCTCTTGCAGATTTTTCCAGAATCTCGACACCCTCGGGTAAGGGAGACGTTGTGGGATGAAGATGAGAACCCGTCAGTTACGATGGATATCTTGCTGTCGGAGATAAAGTCAGCCACCCATCTACAAAGCCCTTCTGGGAGGCCATAGGATAGAAGTTTGCCTAAAAGGGCGGCGTGCCACAATATAGATGTTACAGTTATTTTTCTGACTTTTGTTGTCGAACTTAGATTTACGGCATAGTTGTTGTTTTATCAGTTTTAGAATCGGTATTGTTTGCATGTAGAAATGTTGGAAATCCTTGGAAAAAAACATTTCTGTTAGATCGTAATTACTTTGATAATGTATGATTGTACTAAATAAGTTCAGAAATACAGGGCTGTACATATTCACGTATAGTGCAGCAGCTCTGCGAGTTAAACGAATTCAATATAGCAACATAAATAGACACATACGCGAGAAGAGATGCGGGACGTGTGGTATTGACTTTGAGCATCGATCGACGCAGTTTCTGGACAGGCCACAGGCGCACCGCTAAACAAATGTCATAAATGTCTATTTTCAATTTAGGCGTTCATCTAACATAGTGCTTCGCTGCATCACCAACCCCGAACAAAATCAGTCAAGCTTTACATAATTTTCAAATTACTACTGAGCAACAAACAGAACATATATCACTTTTTACGTGTAATCTGTATAGCTAATATATACTAAGTGACATATAAATCCGAACACCCAGTTTAAATGGTTTTATTTTAATAAAATTTTGTATAAGTACTTAATGAAGCGTAATAAGTAAATGATAAAAATTTCAAAATGATTGCACTACTTTAAAGCCCTTTGACCTTTAATAATGTGTGGATGCACCCTGATGTGCTACGCATTCTCCAACGGGCCTAGGCATGCTTCTGATCAGGTGGTCAATGTCCTCCTGTAGTATCTCATTCGAGGCAACCACCAACTCCTCTCGAAGTGCTTCTAGAGTCTGAGGAGGACGTTGCAAATTGAGCAATCTCCTACCCATCATATCCCACACGTGCTCAATTGGGGATAAGTCGGGAGATCTTGGTGGCCATGGTAACAATGTGACATCATTATGTTGAAAGAAGTCTATTGTGACTCTTGCAACATGTGGTCGGGCATTATCTTGTTGGAAAGTTGGATCTGCCAGGGTGTCAAGATAGGGTAAAAGATGGGGTTCTAGAACTTCGTGGATATAACGCTGCGCGTTCATGTTACGTCTGATGAAGATTAAAGGTGACCTGGAACCATAAGCTATAGCACCCCAAACCATAACTCCAACAGTGTGATGAACATGTCTTTCAACAAAAAACTGTGGATTCCTCCTTTCACCACGTCGCCTTCTAACGCTGGCATGACCATCGTGCATGCCTAAACAAAATCGAGACTCGTCACTAAAGACAATACTGTTCCATTCCTGATCCCAGAGTGACCGTTGTCTGCACCACTCAAGGCGATTACGTCGGTGTTCTCGAGTTAAAGGGAGGACCCAGTGTGGCCGGTATGAAAACAAGCCAAAACTTCTCATTCGTCGGTAAACACTTCGCATGCCAATAGGTCTTCCGTGTTCTGCATACCATTCATTTGCAATGGACCTGGTAGTGGAGAAACGGTCCCTTAAGGCCAATAATCTTAGGCGGCGATATTCACGGTCTGTTGTTCTACGGCGGCGTCCAGTGCCCCTTGCTCTTTGCGTACGGCCTTCTCGAAGCCATGCCTGACAACACCTAACCACAGTGTCTACACTTCTTTGCACTCTAACTGCAATTGCCCGAAAAGAAAGTCCAGCTTCCCGAAGTCCCACTATACGGCCCCTATCAAACTCACTAAGTTGACGAAATTGTACAGGTCTCCGTACTCTAGGCATCGTAACCGACCGTAATGGATGTCAAGAACCAAAATTCGCCAACGTTGATTCTTTACTGCGGCTGAAATATTCATTTTTAGAGCGTTAGTGAATTAAAAAAAAGCAGTATAAAAACCGGAATGTCCAACTGATAAGGCTGACATTTTTTTCACTTGTTATTTACAGTTAGATAAATACATTCACCAACTTTTATTAAAATAAAACCATTTAAACTGGGTGTTCGGATTTATATGTCACTTAGTATATTACCCAGACTTAGATTTGTTACAAGTCACAATACTCGCATTTACGTATAAATCGTAAGAGTTGCGCTGTAAACGTAAGTGATGTCAAATAGGGACAGCCTTTGAAACACCAAAGGATACCAAAAAATCGTAATAGTCAGTTCCTATAGCTATAACTTATAGTTAGTATGCCTCTGTCGCCATGATGTGACAGAAAATAACACAATGGTATTAGATCACAAAAGCAAGTGTCAAAAGCCCCCGCGCTCCATCTCTAAATCCGCCACTGCACTGTAGTGAATCGACACATGAGACTCCAAGGTCTAGCAGAAGAGGCATCATGCGGTTTATGCAGAGAGAACGAGGAAACCACAGTGCATCCCTTACGCCACTGCGAAGGCCTGGTAAGACTACGGTTCCAGATATTAGGAATGACAAATCACAAGGCTATGGAGTCTAATCAAAGCACCAAAGCTAGACACAGTGCCTCAGACAGTGTATATGTGGGATTACAACGGATTGATATGGGTCGCAGGCTGGCTAGCAAGGCAGCCCCTTTTCCATAATATAATCTAAGTAGTACGCTTGTATTTTTATACTCTTAATAATTAAGTATACATACCAATTAATAAATGTACGAGTAGAAACGAGCTGAAATAATTCGTCTGTAAAACGTAGTTCATTCCATCTTCCGTTAGGATATCTTCGTCAGCTCCAAATCCTGCATTGAATATGAGGATATCGATAACCTCTTCCTTCTCCTTTATCGTCTCAGCAAACTTACGGACGGATTTGAAGGACTCCAGGTCCACGTATTCAAGAAAAATATTTGGGTTGTGTGTTTTCCTGACGAGTTCTTCTCTTAGCGCTTCGTTTGGTCTTCTAGTTGCTATTATAATTTTGCATCCTCTCGAAGCTAGGGCTAGCGCGATCTCATACCCAAGTCCTGAAAAGATATTGTATATTGTGAAGCAGATATCTTTTTTGAGCTGAAGCGGCAAAGGCAGAGCCTGAATACCGGAATACCCTGGCATCTGTAAGAAAAAGATACCTTGAATTGACCGCGGTAATAGACCAAGCTAGCTAATCAAAAGTGAAGTCTGCTGTAAAACTTATACCTGTAGCACTGACAGATTCTATATGTACAGATAAATGTTACTCTTGAAGGTAAATTTTCATGCATCTCATTTAGGTATAACAAAGTTTGCAGGGTATCTTTTTTATATCCTATCTTAGTCATGAAACTACAGGCAACCGAATTAATGTTCTGGGCTATATAAATAGTAAGCTGCAAGGGAATTCATTGGAAAACATTTGTGTTACTAGTGTCGCCCAAGGTACTTTGCAAAAAATGTATTTCTAAATGAATAGATTTATATCTATCCCTCTTATGAGGGAGATCCCTTCGCTCCGCCCCTGGCCCATTTGCACAAGCTTCTTTGATGAATGTTGTCTACAGTAAAAGTATTTTATTAATTTTTATTTATTAATTTGGGTTCCGCAAAAATTGCAATACAGAGCAATCTCTACAAGAACTTACAGGACAAGTGCTTGAAAACTTTCAAGATGGAAATAAGACTGTTGCAGTTTTCCTAGATCTTCAAATGGCTTTCGATTCAGTATCTCATACAATTTTATTAAAGAAACTAGAAAGTGTTGGAGTGCGTAGCGGAGTACTGAACTTATTTGAGAACTATTTGGCTGATCGATTACAACAAGTTAAGGTAGGGTCAGATTTAATCAACATTCAAAAGATCAAAATAGATGTGCCTCAGGGGACGGTTTTGGGACCAACACTGTTCCTCATATACATAAATGAACTACTTCGATGTAATTTCAACTGTAAAATGATATCATATGCAGACGATACTGTTTTAGTTTGCACTGGTCATTCATGGGATGACGCAATTCGGAATGCCGAGTTGTCATTAAATAAAGTCAAATGCTGGTTGGATAACAACTTACTTAAACTTAATATCTCTAAAACTAAGTATGTAACGTTTTCTCCAACCAAAGCAGGCATGCCATTACACCACCGAACATTAATTATAAATGATAGTGCTGACACTGTCGAAAGAGTTGAAGTTATTAGATACTTAGGAATCACTATTGACAGTAATTTAAAATGGCAGAGTCATGCCGAGCTTTTGGCATCGAAATTAAGGAGAACTATTCATAAGTTTTTCATTCTTAGGAATATTTTAAGCAGAAATAGTCTTCTCTCAATATATAACTCGTTTGTGGGGTCTCTACTAACTTACGGGATAAGTATTTGAGGAACCGCATACACTAGTACTTTAAAAATACTACAAACCACGCAAAATTATATTGTCAGGACTATTTTTCGTATCCCATGTAGGTAAAGTTGCAGATTTGTTTACATTGAAAATGATCTTTTGAATGTTAGAGGTTTATATATTTTTGCTGCTCTAAAATTTGTTCACTCCCGAAACAATGTTCCAACCAGCCACGCTTATGAAACAAGAACTAAAATAAATATAAGTTACACCTATACCAGAGTTGCACCTATGCCAAAAATGCATAAAGTTTGATGGTATTAGGTTGTATAATAAATTACCCCTAGAATATAAAATCCTCTCGAAGTATAGTTTCAAAAAAAGTATTAAGAAGTTCATCTTAAATAACTTTGACATGCTTGCATCGACGGTAGCTTGACTCAACTCAGTAATTTCGTTTCTATCTAATGTTTTTTTATTTCTTTTTTTTATATACATTTGCTCATAATATACCTTATAACCATTAGCCATGCATTGAATTTGTATATTGTATGACACACATAAGCTTATAGCTTATGTGTCTATTCTTTTGTACTAAATTGTAGTACTCTTGTTTCTCTGCTTAACCTTTTCGCAAAATTTTTATTGTTTAAACAACATAGTTTGACCTTACTCGAAATATCCCTATATTATCATATTTCAGATATTCATATTTTATGTACTCTATATTTATATACTAAGTGACATATAAATCCGAACACCCAGTTTAAATGGTTTTATTTTAATAAAATTTTGTATAAGTACTTAATGAGGCATAATAAGTAAATGATAAACATTTCAAAATGATTGCACTGCTTTAAAGCCCTTTGACCTTTAATAATGTGTGGATGCACCCTGATGTGCTACGCATTCTCCAACGCGCCTAGGCATGCTTCTGATCAGGTGGTCAATGTCCTCCTGTGGTATCTCATTCCAGGCAACCACCAACTCCTCTCGAAGTGCTTCTAGAGTCTGAGGAAGACGTTGTAAATTGAGCAATCTCCTACCCATCATATCCCACACTTGCTCAATTGGGGATAAGTCGGAAGATCTTGGTGGCCATGGTAACAATGTGACATCATTATGTTGAAAGAAGTCTATTGTGACTCTTGCAACATGTGGTCGGGCATTATCTTGTTGGAAAGTTGGATCTGCCAGGGTGTCAAGATAGGGTAAAAGATGGGGTTCTAGAACTTCGTGGATATAACGCTGCGCGTTCATGTTACCTCTGATGAAGATTAAAGGTGACCTGGAACCATAAGCTACAGCACCCCAAACCATAACTCCAACAGTGTGATGAACATGTCTTTCAACAAAAAACTGTGGATTCCTCCTTTCACCACGTCGTCTTCTAACCCTGGCACGACCATCGTGCATGCCTAAACAAAATCGAGACTCGTCACTAAAGACCATACTGTTCCATTCCTGATCCCAGAGTGACCGTTGTCTGCACCACTCAAATGCGATTACGTCGGTGTTCTCGAGTTAAAGGGAGGACCCAGTGTGGCCGGTATGAAAACAAGCCAACACTTCTCATTCGTCGGTAAACACTTCGCATGCCAATAGGTCTTCCGTGTTCTGCAAACCATTCATTTGCAATGGACCTGGTAGTGGAGAAACGGTCCCTTAAGGCCAATAATCTTAGGCGGCGATCTTCACGGTCTGTTGTTCAACGGCGGCGTCCAGTGCCCCTTGCTCTTTGCGTACGGCCTTCTCGAAGCCATGCCTGACAACACCTAACCACAGTGTCTACACTTCTTTGCACTCTAACTGCAATTGCCCGAAAAGAAAGTCCAGCTTCCCGAAGTCCCACTATACGGCCCCTATCAAACTCACTAAGTTGACGAAATCGTACAGGTCTCCGTACTCTAGGCATCGTAACCGATCGTAAAGGATGTCAAGAACCAAAATCCACCAACGTTGATTCTTTACTGCGGCTGAAATATTCATTTTTAGAGCGTTAGTGAATTAAAAAAAAGCAGTATAAAAACCGGAATGTGCAACTGATAAGGCTGAAAATTTTTTCACTTGTTATTTACAGTAAGATAAATACATTCACCAACTTTTATTAAAATAAAACCATTTAAACTGGGTGTTCGGATTTATATGTCACTTTGTATACTTCTGAGTGTTTTTAGTATGCTTCTGTACTATTGTTATGAATTTTAGATTTGTTTATGCAGACACGTAATTTAGGATTTGTCACGACAAGATTCAGACATTTACCCTTTACGAAAGTATACAGAATTTTCACAATTCATATACCGTTACTTGCTGGTTCTAGATCTGATGCTAGTATCTTTGCTCAGATTTCTGTTGCAATCTTGGTTACTCAGGGTTGCAAGAGTATACAAGCTCATGTATTTTTGAAGCTTTTTTTATTTAAATTGTACTGAAGGTTGTTTTTTAATTTGTAAGTTATATTGGTTTTTGAATTTGAATAAACTTTGAATAAACTTTGAATTTTATTCAAATAGGTACTAATACTTTATGTCAAACTGTTTTGACGTAGTCTGCTTTTCGGTTACCGTGTGGCAAGAATTTCTATAATAAATAATGTATATATATAATACAATAAACGGAAAAACATTTAAGATCGCTTGATATACTTAAGTAGAAGAAATTAGGGAATTAGATGAAAACAGTAGTAACATTTCTTCAAAATGATGCTACTTTGGTATCAAAGAATTTGCCTGCACATTTCATTTTGAGATCACATGAACATGTACTGAAAGCTTTAAGAAACGTTATTATTCCTTTTGCATAAATCATCATGCTGTAGTCTAGCGTCCCGAGGCGTACGTACCCTTAATCACGCATTTTCTGGTCTGCGGTTCAAATCCCGTCCGCATCAGACAATTTTTTTTCGTTTTTCTGTCTCTCTGTTGAATTATTTTAATCTGACCTATTTCAAAATCAGCTTGTATGGATATTTATCACTTAATATCATTTGGTGTCAAGATTTGTTGAAGAAATTGGTATAATTTGTAAGACAAATCCTCTGTTCAACAGTCCTACGCGGTATTGCCGCTTATCATGCTAGCGGCGACATATGTATATGCGTTCAACTGTAAAAACCATAATATTGCGATATGAATTTGAGTAGTTTATGTGAACTAACAATAAAAAATAAGCATGTAATGTTCAAAATTGATGTTTATTTATTTATGAAAAAATAAAATATATGCTCAAAACTTGTTTCACACACTAGATCAACAGACTGGAAATATCACTAAAATTCGTATCTATAAAATGCTTTATTTTCTTCCAAAAAGGTCTTATATAGGGTGGCCAATATACAGGGTGGCGCATCGAAAACGAAACAGGCGCGTTTACTGGCAGCTCAGTTTTTTTTGGGAAAAACGCTCGGACCCGTCGATTTTGTTTTCGAGGTTGACACAAGTTTGACAAAAAATCACGTTAACACGTGCAGCCCCCTGCGCGGGAGTGACACCAATCCTAAAATCTTAAATGGAAAGGGGGGTCGAGTGATACATTATTTTAAAGGTCTTTCAATTCCCTTTATAATGATATAAAATTAATGTACTTCAGTTCAGTAGTTTTGAAGATTTATTGATTTAAAGCTTAAAGTAGACTTTAATAGGTACATCAGATTAGTTTGTACTACTTTCAGAAGAAATTGGACTAAAAGAATTTACTTAATAAGTAA